TATTAGTGCCATGTTGGAAATTGCAGGGGGTAGAGTTTGAAAGAGACCTAATGGCCTTGTTCACCAAGGAGGCAATATGTCCTGTAGGCCAGTTTGCAAAAGTGGTTAAAAATGAGGCAATGGAAGGCTATATGTCATCCAATTACATGATACCATTGAATTACTTGGATATCAAGAACATGATCAAAGGATTGCACTATCTAAGTTTGACTAATATGCAGAAGACTCAAATACAGTAGGGATTATCTATGGTACTCATGATCATTATGCAATAAACAAGCCCACTAAGGAACATACAACACAGTCCTTTGAAGATTATCAATAAAAGAAGTCCATAGCGGATCTTTGGAATATTACAGTCCTGGACAGAACAGAACAATTGATAAAAATAGTACCACTGAGTGGTAAAATTGGTGGACTAGGCTAAGATAGGTAATTAAAAAGGCTATACGAATCACTCATGTAATATAAAAAATGTACTACTGATTTTTCAATAAAAATTCATCTTGTTAGTTGGACTAGTTAAAAAAAAAATTTTATTATATTTTTTTTAAAAAAATTATATATATAAATTTTAAAGTTTTATTATTCTTAAAAAATTTCTTTCTTTATTAAATTTTTATATTTGAAGAATTTTAATTGGTTGTTATTATAAATAATATAATAAATAATAAAAAAGTAAAGATATTTTAATAATAATAAAACTTTAAAATATATTAATAATTTTTTTTAAAAAAATATAAGAAATAGAATAGATATTAATATATAATATATATAAATTTCATAATTTTTGGTTGCATAATTAATAATTTAAAAATTATCAATATTGAAATTTATAATAAAAATATAATAAATGAATTCAAACTTTTAGAAGCAACTATATAATGTATAACCTACAACTGTTTAATAAAGTATATATAACTGACTTGACAGAAGATTAAAATTTTTTTTTTTGATTTCAAATAATTATTAATTTATATAATTTTAAATAAATATATAAAATTAGATTTACGGATTTATAGTATAGTAGTAGTATTCCCAGATCACAATCACAAGAATCAAAGTTTAATATCACATGAGGACCAAGTGAAAATTAAGCCATCAGTGATATAAAGGTTGTATATACCTTATGATGTCAATCAGATATTTCAGTATGACATAAAATCAAGTGATTATTTACTTATCATGTTTATAACAAGATAGAAACTGGCTTTAATAAGGCAAGATCAAGTGATATAATATTCTTGATATGTACTGATTCCCTCTCGAGTAGTCAAGTTATGTAGTTAAGATGTTCTGACATTTTAAGAAAAACAGGACAGTTTTTATAAAAGGCAAAGATAGATTGATAAAAAAGACATAAAAACAAGACAGATCCCTCAAAAATCTTATGCTAATAGAAGACATAAAGATATTGTATAAGAAATTCCTAATATTGATAGTGTTGAATATCTTAGACAAGTTCTTGACATATTAGCCTCCCTACATAAGGATAGCAATAAGTCATCCAGTGAACTACAGTTCTAGGAAGTGTCGCTTTGATTGGATGAGATTTAATAAACACAAGTTTAAACTGAAAGGTATCCCATTAAATTGATAGGTTAAAACACTCCCAGTCCCTTTGACTTTGTTAAGAATTAAGAAAAAATTTTGCACTAGATGATCACATAGTTCCTCTATTCTAGTTGGGTGAGACGTAAATAGATGCCCCTTGTACTATTTGTTAATCTGTAAATCCTTAGACAGTATGGGTAATTACTTATCCCAGTTATTCCTAGGATCTATTTTAATAATTAATAAAGGTCCTGATACTGATACAAGAATGAGCTAATATATTTAAAAAAATTTTTATTAATAATTTGTCAACTATTTATTCAAACTATTTATCAACTCTTTCTTATAAATCCCTGATCATCTCTTTTAAAGAAGTATATCTTTAAAACTCTATATTTTGAGAGTAATAAAACTTCAAAACTTTTTCCAAAAACACCTGTTTTGCTTAATAGTAGCTATACTTTACTCTTTTTGTTTTCTTTCCTCTTTAAAAACTCTCTATATAAGAAATCAATAGCAAAAAAGCTTTTTTAAGAAGAAAAAATCAGATAAAAAAGTATTTTCTTTCTCTTTCTATAGAGATTTCAATGTCTAAAAAGAAGTGTGAACCAATAACTTCATATTAACCTGGAAAATCAATATCAATACCATAGGCAAAAATGACTTTCTCTTAACATATAACAATTTTTTTCAATTTTTTAAAGGAATTTTGCCTACCCTAGCTTGACCTTAAATTTTCTATTATATTAGATTTTGGACAAATTAATTGGCTAAAGATTGAAATTGGTTGCTTCATAGTTGACAAAAATGTAAATAAGAATATACATAACATAAAACAAAAATATATTTTTTAAGTCTCATAAAAACCTTAGGTCCATTATAAGTTATTGATTAATTATGCAGGTGGATAAATATCATATTAACCAATTTTCTCTTTCTCATTACTTCCCAAAAATGGTATGACTATTGAATGGACACTTCTTCAAAAGCAAAGTTGGATAAAAGAGCTATTGTTAAATGTCTTTTTTTCTTTTCCTATTTTTTCTTTTTGTAAATATTTTCAACTTCCCCCTTTGTTTTTTTCCTTTTATTCCAACATTAACTAATCTTCGACTAGTACAAAAGACCACAGTATCAGATGGTACTGGGAATTTTAGATAAGTCCTAATGTGTTAGATCTTGTTAGTAAATGGCAACAAGCCAATTGATGGATATATTAGTATACTCTAAATAATGTTAATTCTTAATTAAAAGAATGTATTCAACAATTAACAGCTGCATATACCTGACTTATCCCCAGTTTTGTTTTTAAAAGAGAAGTATTTATACTAGGCAGTTATGTATTTTTCTTATCCTAGTTAGGTTAGACATAGATTGAGTCATACAAATAGATAACTCTCTGTTCTATTTCTCTCTAGTGATCTGTAAATCCTTAGACAGTACAGGAAAATATTAATCCCAATTGTCTCTAAATAAGATCTTTTTTTAATAAAGCACCAAAGAAGGGATAGAATAAGCCAGTTTCCAAAAAAAAAAATTCAAACTATTTATTAAAAATTCATTAACTATTCATTAAAATTATTCATTAGAAAAATTAATCAATGCAAAACTATGACAGAAAGTGTTCAATTTCAGAGCTCTTTGAAATATTGGAATTGTGTAATCTCCGAACCATTCCCTTTTTCCCGCAATCAATTTGCTGTATAGGGTTATACTCGGATTCAAAAGCGTCAAGACTAAAAAATTATAGTTAAAATGATGATTTCAACATGATCTAAACCCATATAAAAAAGACTTACAATGGTCCAACGGCACGTTCTGCCCAATACAAAATCTTTCCAATCTTCCTTTTCATATGAAAGACCATTATTATATTCTGGTGCCTTTAAATTTCTTAAATTCTCCCATTTATCACGAGATTCATAAAGTTTCAGTTGTTTCTATGAATATCGCAAACACATAAATAATCGTAAAACATGCTCGAATTTCCAAGTATGTCTTACTTCTTTCAAAGAGGACCAAATAGATGATCACAAATGGATTCAATTTCTTTATGATATTCGGATTTGATTTTGGCAGGCCGGTCAGCTATGAGTTCTGCCCATAATTTTGGCTCAAATTCTTTTTTTACCTGTGATCCGGATGTAAGATCTAGGATATAGCTATGTGCCAAGCTGTATGAAAATAACAAAATATAAAATTATGGAATGAACGTGATATGTAATTGATTGAAAATTTGCAAAAAAAAAAGCTTACTCAAATTTCGAAGTGTTTTGTTTTCTACAATACTTTTCCATTATTAAGCTGAAGGCTCGTTAGAAAAATACAAATTATCGATCTCGGCATATGACCGCTTGCGAACGTTCTTGAATGATAGATATTGAAACGAAAGATTAATAAAAACAATTATCATTTAACCATTTAAACATAAAACAATAAAAATAACTAAAAACCTCTTGAGCCGCCTTTTCTTTTTCATTACCCCGACCAGATTAATAATCAACAGAAATAGCAACCTCATTTTCATTTGTATTGTGTATCTCTTCAATTTCTTTTCTGGTTGAGCGATGTTCCTAATTAATTCACATTAAGACTATTGCGATGGTTTATTCCTAAATTTGTATTAAAGCCTACCTCTAGTGCTTGTAACGTGTTTGATGATGTCACATTTCGACACACGGCTAGATGGAATCCCCTTCTTTCATCTTTTAATTCTAATTCATTAATAAAATTATTTGCATTAACTGAAGAGAATGACTTATCAAAGCTTGTTAAAAATTTTCTCGCTTCGTTTTTTGCGTTCTCATGTTATGACTATCTCTGAAATTTTGTAAAACTAAGTATATTTCCGTTTTCAAGGTCTCGATTATATCAGTGGATATTTCAGATTTTGATCCGATATATTTGAGCATGCAAATAATAGTCCAATCCTTGCACATTGTATTTCCAAGATATTCATTTATAATTAGCTCGAACATATCTGCATATAAAATAGAAGATTACGAGTAACTAAAATACACCAGTATTATATACACCGAAAATTGGCAAAATAAGTGTTGAAAATCAACGGTATACTGGAAAACAGCATGTAGGGGAGGTAATGAACACGCGTGCTCAAGAACATTCCTACAGGGTGCTCCCAAACATCTAGCGCAGGACGTAATGGCCATACGCCAGTAGGTATACACAATACATCTTGGATACTAGCATGTAGGGAGGAGGCAATGAACACGCATGTCCAAGGACATTCCTACAGGGTAGCACCAAACATCTAACGCAGGACGTAGTGGCCATACGCTAGTAGGGATGTACGTGACTGTAAACCTTACCAGAGCTCAGAGAGTTATGGAGAAGATTAACCCTATTTCTTTACGGTATGTCTCGAAGAATCCTGTTCTGAATTTCTTTAAGTTATGTCTCGAAGAATCCTGTTCTGAAATTTCCTTACGTTATGTCTGAAATTCCTTTACGTTATGTCTCGAAGAATTCTGTTCTGAAAAATGATGGTTATACGCGTTTGTAATACATAACACGTGATCATCACAATCAATTAAGAAATAAATTGGCCAATCAAAAATATGCGTGCCCTATCCTTATTAAAAATATATAAAAAAAAAATTTAAAATTCCTCTGATAATTTATACTAAGAAGATGAAAAACTTCTTTTTTCATCCTGATGCTGAAAGCCAAATATACATTAATGCTATTTTAGACAAATTTAAAAGATGATTTTTTTTATTATTTCAATATTCATCTAAATCTAATTCATTATTTTCTTCAAAATCTTTATTTAATTTATGATAAATTCTCTTTATTCAAATAAAACATTACTATTAGAATTTTTAAATTCTTTAATTTCATTATATTTTTGAATATTATATTTTGCTTGACTAACTTGTATAAATTGAGAATTAAAACATTAAATAGTTTTAAATAATAGTAGTAATATAGAATAATAATAAATATATTTTTTAAACTTATCTAATGCTAATTGAAAAACTTTATAAAATATTTCTTGAAATATTAATAAATCCACACTTAAAAAATTAAATTTAATATTTATTTTACTACTAATTAAAAATTAAATTGTACTCAATTATAAATAAAATTTAAGTAAATATAATTTTATAAATATAAGATATATTATAGGTTATTGTGAATTTTAAAAAATTTTAAACTATTATAAAGACTATAATAATAAAATAATTAATAAGTAATTAATTAATTAATTAAAATTATAATATAAATAACTTATTTTTTTGTATTAAATACAATAAATATTATTAAAATTTAAATTATAAAAGTATTTATTAAATTATTAAACATTGCAATTAATTTTTTAACTATTTTATTTTTCTTATTTATATTTTCTTCTTAAAGAAAAAATTTTTTCAAATAATATAAATGTTTTTTTATTCAAAAAACAAAATTAAATCAAGAATTTCATCTAGATTTTATAGATAAAAGAGGTAAAATTGAATTAATTAAAAAGAAAAATAAAAATCTATCTTTTTTTGTAAGAATTATTTTAAATAAAAAATATTTTAATATTTTGAATTGTAATTTCTAATAATTTAAAATTATTAAACTCTATTCAAGTATTACTTATTAAATTTAAAATATATATAAAGTAACAATTATATTTTATTTAAAGAATTAAAGAAAATAAAACAATAAAAGCTTTTAATATATGTAGATAAAGTATTATTTGAGATGAATAAAATAATATTTTCAAAAAAAATATTATAAAAATAAATAATTTATATAACTAATTATGTAAAATATAAATTATTTTCTTTTATTAAATATTCAATTTTAACAAGTTTTATAAAATTTTTAAAACTAAATAAAATATTTATAATAATATATTTACAATTATCAATTAATTTATTAACAATAATTAAAATTACTTGTTTTATTAAAATAGTTTTTAAAATTTTTAATTATATATTATATATAATTGATAAATATAAAATAAAAAAAAAACTCTTTCTGCTGATCCCCAGTTTCCTAAAAAATTTCCTTTTTTAATAATATTTTTGGAAAACCAAGAAGCCAGTCTCCAATACTAAAAAACATATAGTCTAATAACAACAACAGCTTGTTACAAAGCTTCAAAACCACTATACTTCTTTGTAATAATAATTACAGGGTAAGTATTAGAGAAAAAACTATCACAGTATAGTTTTTCTTCACAGAGAAAAGAAAATCCCAAGAAAACTGATTCACAGTAAGCTCCT